GATTTCCATAGACCTTTTTCAGGCATGTTATATTGGCTGAAATCCCATGACTGCTAAACCAATCAAAATTAATCCATTGCTGCAATTGTTAATAGCACGCATTGGAACAACAAGAAAATTGCTAAATATTGCTACAATCTACCTTTATTATAGAAACTGGACTATGAATTATTTTTTGAAGTTGCCTCAGTTAATGTTATTATAACTTACACAACTTCTAATACGTGTATATTTCATGACATGCTTTAATTTATTTGTGTCTCGGATACAAAACTGAATTGTATTTTTAGCCAAATTACTTCCATATAAATCTATGCTAGATAATCTATGTTAAATAATCTACGCTAAATAATCTATGCTGAATAATCTATGCTAAATAATCTATGCTAAATAATCTATGCTAAATAATCTATGCTAAATAATCTATGCTAAATAATCTATGTTAAATATAATAATAACATTTAATACTAAATTGTGCTTTTGTATAAAAATAATCTAAAATCAATCGTAACAAAAAAGATAACACTAAAATCTCGACTACATTAGGATATTTCTTGTGCAAAGGAGACATTTTTCTAAAGCAGCAGTTATCAGAGTTGCATTCGAAGGCAGGTAAAGAAGATTATACCCAAAGTGTCTAAAAACTATCTGACCACCAACTATAGCCCTCTAAACACAACTTTGAATTTTATATGCTGGTATCCTATCTTGTCAACTTAATTAACTCAATTCATTAATCCACTAACCGTTCCTTTACTTTATGAGTTACTAACTATAACTTAATTTATCCTTGGGACACATCAGAGATCACCAACCAGAGGCAAAGCCCTCATCAATGTGATCCAAGAATCGCCAACATCTTTGTACAGACTGGTTGGTCCATAATAAAAACTGTACTTAATGGTTGATGCTATGCAAGTTTATTATATGGCTAGTTCTATGGGCAGACAAGATGAACCAAATTTCCCCAAAAGCCATATAATTAATCTTTTACTGGCCAAACTTGCTCGGTCAAGACGGCTGAATAGTGGCCTCATTCTTTTTTTCGCGATTTTATTGGAGCTTACCTCCATCTCGATCCATATACACTCAAAAAAAGAACTTGGCCAATATCTCAGCCATCTTNTCTCCTAGGACAAACTTTGTCATAGTCTCAAGGGTGTCTACTGACATACATGTAAGGTTTGACTGTACAATGAACTACATTTAGACTGTACTCACCCATTTCAGAGTTGTTCGGGAATTGACGCTGAGATCAACAATAATATAAGACAAGAGCACAAGGATTGCCCCCATATAGGCATACAGCTCGAATTCCCGCTCCCTCAAGACACCATGAACTGCATAAAACAGACAGAAACCTGCAGAAAAAGGTTGAAGTTAACCGCTCAAGAACCGTTCTCCTTGAAAACATTGTTGTTCATCTCTAGAGTGTGATCGGCCAGTATCAATGAGGGTAACATTCTGAAAAGACTACTGTTGGCAACTTATGCAGACTTCCACAATGAAAAAAAAACCACCAAATGAATACCCATCCACTCAAACCACTCACTGAAATATTTTTTTCTAGTTAATATCAAATGACAAGGATATCCTATTGATCTCAAATGACCACTCCATGATGAACATGAACATCAGTGAGCACACTGATCATACTGATCACACTGTCTAGTCTATTGGCTTCATTCTACCGTTTCAAAAATTGGTCAACAGGGTTTCATTAACATTTTCAGCAGGAGTACTGAATTTCGTGATAAGAAAAACCTTCCATTAGATAGTCAATCCAGGTGGGCAAAATCATCCTCGCAGACAGTCAATTTGCACGGTGCCCGGCCCTTAACAAGAATGTGTGATTCTCAGTTTCCTTTGTCTTCCAACCCTAATTATTTATGATCCATGAATAATTAGGGTTAAGAGACAAAGGATTATCATTTTAACCTGAAGTTCACTTTGACCTACAACACATTATGATGCCAGATCTAAAACTTGCATCATTTTGTACCTGATTCATGACACACAAAATCAAACCAGTTGAATCTTATGCAACATGCAAAAATGAGGAAAACATGTCTGTTTCAATTGTCCCTACGACCTAATTCTCCTAGTGTGTGTCAACCCTTAGTCATTTGATGGTCAAATGAATATGAGAGTTTGAATTGTTGTGAACTCTTGGTGCAACAACTTGTTCTTAAATGATCCACCCTAATGCACATTAACTATCACACAGACAACATGGTTATTTCACAAAAAGCACGTCGGTAAAAACTGAGAGAAATCTACCACTGACTAACATAATAAAGACTTGATAATTAGCTAGGGAGGGAGAATTAGGAAAGTGGCGTGGCCAAGAAGTTTAGGGTGCTGGATTTGAAATCTGGAGGTCCCTGGTTCAAATCCTCCACCCCACTGCTATATAGATTTGTTCTCACTAGTCACGAGTTCAACTCCTCTACCGCATTGTGTAAATAGTCAATGTAAGATCGTCAATGAACACACGCCATGTTGGATAGAACTAATTTAATGCGATATCACGTGATACAATGTAGGTTCGCACTGCGTGCAGAGGAACGGATATTACAGCCAACTGATCAACTGATATAGTTTATGTTCTATTTGTAATATTTGCTTATTTATTTTCGGTGTCCCCATTTACTGTAGCACATTACGGAGTAAATAGAGTTACTCTAATTTTTTTATTATTATAGCTGTAAAGAGGTGCCGAGAGTCAAGACATACCTATGTTGATGAGGAGGATGATGGCAAACGTGTAGTCTGGCGAATGTTTCTCTAGCTCCACTAATCTGTCAATTGTGAGACCAATTGCGACCAACACATTTACAATAGAGATGATGAGAAATACCATCTCAACAACCTCCAGCCCAGCAAAGGTTTTCACCTGAAAACATCAAAATCATGTAACAAATATTAAAATGTGCAAACCAAGCATGTTACAAGCACGACAATTGCACTCAATGTCCAGGCAAGTTGCTCGTTCTCACACAGACTCGATTTTCAGCCACTATTTGGGAAACAAGCCTGCATTCCTCTATAAAGACCAGAAGTGGGAGAGTGGTGGAAATCAAGCCTAGCTCTCTCACAGCTGGCAAGCAAAACATGTAAGCTCTGCAAAACCCTGTACGAGACCCCACAGAGCATGGTCGCCCTGACCGCTCACCAGCATTGACTTGAGTCAAAATTTAAATAAATTACATTTAGCCACATAAAAGTATCATTTTCCCCCCAGCCCCCATAGAGGGATTGTTGATTTGAAGCCAACCTCTCCCACCACTCTGGAAATTCCAATTAAGCATCATTGGCTTTAAGACCCCACTCCCCCTTGAAATTTCCAATGACCTTCCTAGGGGTGGGTGCGGATAAGTACTTCTCAGAACCGCATAATTATTATTAATTATCAAATATATATGTCATTTAGACTGAACTACAGTTAACACAGAAAACATCATTATTAACTAATTAAGAGTCACTGACTGGGAATATCAAGAATGGCTGGCCAGGTTCGAAAAATCGAAAATCCTGAAACTTAGCCTAAAGAACGCTTGCAAGGATCTACTTTCGAAAATATTATTCCGATTTTCTTAGAATTTTAAGTCTTCGAGAAATTCGCGAAAAACGAAAACACAGCTTTTTGCCTCATTAAATATGCAAACATTATTTGGAAAATTGACAAAGTTCTCGGTATTTGCATTGAAACAGTTTACAAAACTAGAACACAGGGCAAACTTAGCATAAGAGCTTTACCTTTCTTCTAACAATAGGAAGTTTTAAATCTTTCAAGCATTTTGAAGGATTCCATTGACCGTTGAAGAATTGCCTTTTCAAGCCCCTATGAAAATCGCCAAAAATGCACAGTTTTACAGGCTTCAAGCGCATCTTGGTGTCATTTCTACTATAATACTACGTAAAAAAATTTCTGGGCAATTAAGGTTCACACAGGTAAGGATGCAAAAGTTCCCAACAGTCTCTTCTCAAATTTGCATAATGCGGTATGTTCAAAGAACTCTATTGTTGAGCCCTCTAGTCTGTTTTTGTTCCATTTGTGGGCCATGCTTTGTGGGAAATCATACAAAAATAGAGTTGATCCATGTCGTTATCACAACATAGTTTCATTATTTCACACAAGGTACATAATACTATAGAAAAAGCCCAAAACATAAGTTTAAAGTTACATAGACTAAACACGCTACATGAATTACGTGACTGGCGTCATTTAATATATATTTTGAGTTAGCTCCTGACCAATTAATTGGAATTCCTAGATTATTGAGGTTTAGACACTTGCTTATAATAGAAACATATCAGGGTTTGTCTTTCCCGTCTATACACACTTGATTAGTCTGCAAATATTCAAAAGGAGACTGGTCTTTTAAAGTATTTTTTTTAGCATGTGTCTCGATTTTGAAACATCTAATGAAACATCTGAATGATCGGATGGATAATGAATTAATTAAATACACTAAATGAAATGAAGAGGTTTTATTAACGTCATCCATTTAGACCAAGGAGGCAGGTTTTCTTGAAAAATAGAGAAAGACTGTTTGATGTCTATCCCGCGATCTGACCTCAATTGGAATTCGGCCTAGTCCAAACATCGTGCTGCTGCCACGCTGAACTCAAATAAATTTTGCGTGGCAGTGGCTCAACACAAAGCTACAAAAGATTTAAACGTCAAATTTAATTCAGTCGTGCAGAAGATCGGAAGAAGTTTGCTTCGCTAGAGACCTTTTTAAATGCTAGAAAGCAACTGCAGCTGATGCAGCAGGATATGAATTCACAGGTATGGCGGAGCCTTTTTACAAGTGGGGGCGGGGGAGGTAGGGGGCTTGAAAATAAGCAGGGTCAGTACAAGTTTGTAGATGGGTCAAGGAGCATCCTCCCCCCCCCAAAAAAAAAATTTAAATCTAGGGGCTCAGAAATGGTATTTTTGACATTCTCCATGGTGTAGTTCTTAACAAAATCAACCTAGTGGATGAACTATAATTAAATGGCAGGTACTTTTAGTGCATTTACAGCAATATATTTTGAAGGTATTGTGAGCTTGATACATATTTCTCAGCTCTCCATGATATATCACAGCCTTAGTACTAACTGACCTGCGCTTTTACACAAGCCCCCGCATGTGTGGGAAGGAAGCGCACGCTGCGGAAAGGTTAACGCTATGTAAACATGAAAAGTTTCCTACAGATTTGGTACGAGGTTGTAGCTTTGTAAATTCTTTGTAAATCTGTAGTCAACCAGACGTTTTTCGTTTTCTTTTCCTTCTTCATTTCTTCATTTGTACCTCATACTAAAACAAAATAAACTATCATTGTGGTAAAAAGTGGGGGGAGGGGGAGGGGGAGGGGCTTGAACCCCCCAGCCCCCACTCCGGCTCCGCCATCCCTGATTCAGTTCAGCACATGCATGGCAAGAGCATGCCGTTCGCAGCCAAGTCGTGCTACTTCCGTGCGGAACGGCATTAGGCCTTCCATGCTATAAGTAGTCACGAACTGTTTCAAACCTCAAGGCTCATCTCGTTCATTTAACTAAAATCTTCAGCCTAACCCACAGAAAATGTCGAAGTAAACCCAATATATGAATA